TATTTTAGATACAACCCTTCCCTCAGCGCTTCATCCAATCAAACATGCCGAATCGATTTTGTTCCGAATTTCCATCACACCTTCGTAGAGTTTCTTTTTTCCTCCTAACCACGGGAATCCCTGCGATGGAAGTGTTATCGGAGATTTGACGGTGTAAAGATGAGTGAGTGATGCTGGAAGCTCTTCTCAAAGCTGACGTCTTTCTGTTAAATCTGTTCTCTATTCTCTGAGGTGTCTTAAACTGCTGGGGGGCCAGCCTGGTCTCTATCACAGGGGGTGGGCAAATGAACCTCGTTAAATCCCAGAGATGAAGACAATCTCTTTAATTCCTTCAAAGGGTTGTAGCAGGAGCTTCATGGAACATGCAGCTGGGGGGCCGGATGGAGCAAAAAGTGTGAGGAGGTCATATTATTCAGTATGTTGCTATCAACCAATATCATCGCAATATATCGTCATTGATATATCATCGGTAGATATCATTCATTCAAGCAGGTCAGTAGATAGATAGGCAGGTAGCTAAGATGGTGATGTTGATTCTCATAGAGATTGATTGGATATTGAGCAGGCAGGTTGGTTGGTAGGTCCCTAAGGGAGGTAGATATGTAGCTAGCTAGCCATTTCTAAATGGATTCTATTAGCAATCCATCAGATATCACGCGGGGAGGCAGGTTGGCAGGTCACTCACTTACCAAGAGACCAAATGTCACCCGAGGGGTCAGCCGACGTGTAACCTGCAGGTTAGCAGCAATCTAGCCAGATAGGTAGGAAGATAATTCAGGGGTAAGAATAGGGGGGTATCTGGGTGTTTCAGCATTTGAATCAATCAGAATGTCTTTCAACCCACATCCAATCATTTCAGCCACAAAATGAAGCAACTTCTCGCCCCTCCCGCCCGGAGCTTCGTATGATACTTATAGACTTCACTTCTCTCTCCGTCGAACAATAATTATAGATTCTAGGTCTGTAAAGGAGTCGCGGGGGAGCCGCTCGAATCATGGCCGTTCCTCAAACGCATGCTATATTAAACGACACAAACAACGAGCAATTCGAACTATCGATACTACATTAGTTTATAGTATCCGAGCTATATTGTGCGTCTTTAAGGGTTTCAATCATGTTCCCAACGGGGGAGGCATGTGATTGTGGCGCAGGGCCAGCCTTGGTTTGATTTTCCATCATATAAGCTAAAGTTTAATACACTCACTCCCCCGCCATGAAGGAGGACAATTGCCGTAGATCAAGGGGCTAAGGGCATAAAGGCAGCTCTCCTCCCAATTTCGCTTCTATCGACCCATTTTCCATTTTCTCCTCATAAGCGTTATCCTAGCTTCGCAAAAACTATCCCATTCCACACTTCCATCATGAGTACCCAGACAGCTCGAAAACGTGACCGCACACGGATTTTCTGTTATTGCCTGGCGTAAATGGTCCGCCGCTAGGGTTTTGTTGTGCGT